TCCCCCAATTAAAGTCTTCTTAAGATGATAAATGCAAGATTAATGAAAGGTTGTGTGTGTTATACAAATGCCATGGATAACAAAGCAATGAAATTAAACAAATAAAACAAAAGATTACAAGAAAATAAAGCATATAGGGATTTTTATAGAGGTTTAGTCAAACCACGGCCTGTGCCCTCTTCTTAAGAAACTTCTTAAGAGTTTCATTAAAACCAACTAGGCTTTTGTGTGCTAGTAAAACCTTACAACTAGTAAGGCTTCAATGTGTTTGCAATATCTAAACAGGTTAAACTTCAAAGTGCCAACCAAAGTTGAACAGTTGGCTTACATGTGCCAACAAAAAACCTACATTGGTGTTGTTTTCTTAAACACCTCAAATACAATAAATATTTCAATCTATACATAGATACAAAGTGAATGCCTCTTATCAAGTTGATAAAAACAAATACAAAATAAACAATATCAAAGCACAGGAATGCACAAGACAATAGGTTCAAACTCATGAAGAGATTCAGTCAAATCTCAATGAGAAACCAATAGGCCAAGAAGGCTATTTAGTTTTTCTCACTATGAACTGATTTAGCATAGAAATTTCTTCCTCTAAAGAAAGACTCTTGCTCATAATATGCTCTCTTATCGTAGCTAATGTTTGTAGATCAAAATTTTGTTTTTCTTCGAGCCAAAGCCACTAATTTATAATGATTATGAAGTTAGATTTCATGGGTTTCTAATTGCACCCAAGTGTTTTGTCAGACATAGAACCTATGTGTAAAAAACATATGAAAAATAAGCAAAAACTACATATACTAGTTTGGTTGTGTTGCAGCATTCAATAATTTTTGGTATCAACATATTGCAACTGGTTTTAATGTCATAGAAAGGTCCCCCTTTTTAATAAAGTGGCTAAGTGGCACCTACAAATGCACGTTAAAAAATCACTAAGAGGAGATAATAGATAAGGGTAGGATAGAATTGAAAATTGAATAAATAACAGGGGTATTGGGGGCATGTAAAAGTTTGAACACAGACTAAAATTAAGTCCTTAAAATGTCTTTTTATATAATTTATTTCACCTCATTCAATCAATAAGTTTTAATTTAAGGTAGCATCCTCATTCCCTCTTATTAAATCATAAACTTATAGATTTTTTTCACCAATAAATTCTTTTAATTAAATCTAATATCCAACACTTCTAGCATATGCTTTTTTAAAACTGATCCAAAAATGAAACTGCTCTTTTGTCCAAGTAGTGGATAAGAAATTCGACCATTTAGGTCTAATGGGTCAATAATTATAAATACAAAATAAAAAAAAATTGTACAAAAATTCGGACACATCCCTACTATTTTATATTGATCATATTAAAGAAAATAAGTGTAATAAACAAGAACTGCTTCTATTGATAATGGAAATGAAATATAGAATTTAAAATCGACCCAAAAAAGAAAATCTTCCTATTGTAAGGGTAAAAAGGGTGTTTTGAACCCCTATAAAAAAGTAGGGGGAGGGTCGAGGGGATCACGATATGATCCATTTGCACCCCTATAAAAAAGTAGTTCAAAACACCCTTTTTACCCTTACAATTGGAGGGATCAAATTTAAAAGCAAGGATATTACAATTAGGCTTGAGGGTTCCACAACTCAAATTGGGTACCATTGACCTTAACCCAACCTCAGGTTGAGTTAGGGTTAGAGTTGAGGGTTCCACAGCTCAGATTTGGTTACAGTTTGACCTCAACCTGACCTAACGCAACTTGACTTGTACCCTTGACAAGCTATGAAATTGAATAGTTGCCCCTCGACCCTCCCCCACTAGGGGTGCAACTCGAGCGGGTTGGATCAGGTTGAAGGTTAACCTAAGCCCAACCCTAAAGGTGCAAACCTCGAGCTTAGGCCTAACCCAACCTGAGGTTAAACCAAGTTTATCAACCTAGGCCCAACCCGAGTCAGGTTAGGCTGGGTCAGGTTAGTCGGGCTTGGACAAGTTGGTCGGTTTTGAAAGAATTTATGTATATATTTTTACATAGTCATCTTTTATTGGGTTTTATGACCTAATTTAAGAGTATAATTAATGGAAAATATGTACAACTTTCATACATTGTTTATACACATACATATATATATATATACATACATAATTAGAAAAAAGATAATTTTATATAAATATAATGTGTGTATTATTTTTGTTTTTTTGTGCAAACTTGGGGTGATCGGGCCTGAGTTGAGTTGGGCTGGGGCTGGGTCGAGCCATGCAAGGTACCCGAGGTCTCATTTCCAAGTTTAGGTAGGGTCCAAGTTTTCTGGACTAGGCCCAACCCATAGCCCAAAAACTCAGGTAGGTTCAAGTAGGGATGGCAATTTCACGGAAATTTTTGGGTATCCGACCCATCTCGTCCCTAATAGGACCCGTTTATCAAAACTCTATAGGGTTTGGGTTTTGACTTTAGGGTATCCGATACCCGATGGCCGGGATGCATAAATATGAACCCATTATATTATATATCATGCACAAATTTATAAATTTTAAGTATTAAGATAATTATTCTATTATTAATATTTTATTTATATAAATTTGGATGTAAATTTGATGTAAATTTACATCAAATGGGTTCATATTTATATAAACCCATTTGATGTAAATTTGGATTTGATAGATTGTTTGTTTCATTTAGTTATAAAATGCTAATTTTAAATATTATTTCTTTTAATTTTTAGTTGGAATTGTTAATCATATATATTTATTGATTGTTTTGATGAACACAAAAGTTAAGATCTATTTTATTTTATTAAATAATACAAAAGGTGAGATGACTTAGTGGTTTAAAGTAGTGCTAAGAGATTTGGCATTATTATTAATTGATTTGGGTTCAAGTCACATTATAAGCATTAAGAAACTTTTTTTTAGTAGAAAACGTTTGACCAAGGGGTTTAACAAGTGGGACGGGTCGGGATGGGTTTAACGGGTTTGGGATGGGACAGGTTTGGGAAGTTGAGAGGAAAAATTAGATGGGTTTGAAATTAGGGATACATAGGCAGGTTCAGGAATGGGTAGGGCATGCAATTTGCATGGGTACCCTACCCGTTGCCATTCCTAGGTTCAAGGTTGGTCAATTGAGGCTTGGTTGGACCCGCCCAAATTGCACCCTCACTCCCCACTAAAAACAAGGAATTCCTCCCCCCCCTAGGGATGGCAATTTTCCCTATCCCCAACGAGACCCAACTTCTCCGACTCGATGGGGTCAGGGATGGGGATTGTTTTGGAGGGGCGGGGACGGGGACAGTGATTAATAGGAATCCCCGATCGGGGTCGGGGATGGGGATTGAGGTCCCCGCCCTGTCCCGACCCCGATTATGTATATATATTATTATATTATTTATATTATATATATATATATATCAAAACATATTTAAAAAATTATTATTTATTTTAAGTAAATTTATTTTTCAAATAAATACTGTTATCTAAAATAAATTCGGGGATTTGGGTCCCTGCAAGGAACCCATCCCCGTCGAAGGTCGGGGATGGAGGACAAATTTTATCCCCGGCGGGGATCAGGGATGTGGGTTAATTTCATAATCGGGGTCGGGGATGGGGAATATGATCCCCGCCCCAAACCCGCCTCGTTGCCATTCCTACGACCCCCCCTATAACACAAAAGGTGAGATGACTTAGTGGTTTAAAGTAGTGCTAAGAGATTTGGTGTTATCATTAATTGATTTGGGTTCAAGTCACATTATAAGCATTAAGAAACTTTTTTTAGTAGAAAACGTTTGACCAAGGGGTTTAACGGGTGGGACAGGTTGAGACGGGTTTAACGGGTTTGGGATGGGACAGGTTTAGGAAATTGAGAGGAAAAGTTAGACGGGTTTGAAATTAGGGATACATTGGCTGGTTTAGGCATGCAATTTGCACGGGTACCCTACCCGTTGCCATTCCTAGGTTCAAGGTTGGTCA